TCATATTTTGGGGGTTCAAACATTATGGAGAGGCATAGGGACGAATTTAACATCGTTTTTCCACTATTTTCTTCAAGAAACCTGGGATTATTTGTAAGTTCATCTTTTTAATTAATGACAATTAATTCTATTCTTCATAATTATATTGATTCTTCAATTATGAATTGTGAGTAGTTTAATTAGGGATTTGGGGTTGATGAAGGGGTTAATCATGATGTATGGCTAGATTCTTGAGGGATTAATTGCATATATGCCGTTTAATTTGTGTCTGAATAATTTAACTGATATCTTTTGTAACCTGGAACCGCGGCTAGAATTACAATTGCATGTAGAATAAATTAAGAGAGATCTAATTTAGGCGACTTTACTCCGGAGGCACGGTCGAAGGCACAGTCGTGCCTCCCTGCTAGGGATGGACCCGGGCCGGTCCGGTTCCAGTTCCGGGCCGGGCCCGGGCGGGCTTTTTTCAGGTTACATGGGCCCGGAACCGGCCCGGGTTGATACCGGGTCCGGGCCTAACCGGGCCGGGCCGGGCCGGGCCCGGTTCAATGTTTTTTTTTTTTGACTTTCTTGTTATCTCCCTACCCCCCCCCCCTCACCCCCACGCCCCAAACCTCCCTAAAACACCCAGCCCTACCCTAGGAAAAGAAAAAAAATTGAAAAAACCAAAAAAAAAAAAAAAAATGAACCGGGCCCGGCCCGAACCGCCCGGGCCGGTTCAACAAAAATAGGGCCCGGAACCGGCCCGCCCGACCCGCCAACACGGGCTAAAAGCCCGGAACCGGCCAACCGGGCCCGGTCCGGTCCGGGCCCGCACAGTAGCGGGCCGGTCCGGTTCCGGGCCGGTTCGGCCCGGCCCAGTCCATCCCTACTCCCTGCAGGCACGATCGTGCCTGGAGAGAGGCACGACCGTGGTAAAAAAAAAAGGGCAGCCGGGAAAAACACAGTCCAGACCCAGACCCGAAACCCCCGAAGGCTACTGGAGGCCAGCCGAGTTCTTCTTCAGGCACTTCGACCGTGCCTTCAGGGGTTTCGGGTCTGGGTCTGGACCGTGTTTTTCCCGGTTGCCCTTTTCTTTTTTACCACTTCTGGGTTTGTAACTAACTGAACCGGTTTTTGGTCTGGATCGTCGAATTCTGGGTCTAGCAGACCGGTATGGGTCACGTTTTAAAACATAGGTGGAAACTTATGGATCACCAGGCACTTGGGACAATCACATTGACGTTGTCAAGGAACAATGTTTTCAACGTCAAGGTTGTGACAACCGTAGGTTTGATGAAAACTGTTAGGATCTGGGGTTCCATCTTAGGCCTAAAAGGTCAAACCGATGGGAAAAGTAGCGCTTATCTTAGAGTTAATTATCAAAATAGGACTAAAAGTCACTCACTTTGCACAAATAGGACCAAAAAATAAACTATGTTTCAATAGGACTAATTATGTGTGTCTTGGACTAATATACCCTTATACCTATTGGAATGTTTTAATTCATAATAAAATAATAAAAATAATAAAAATTCGAAAAATATACCAAAAGATTAATAAAAATATTTTAAATAATAATAAATTAAAAAAATGAAAAAAAAAAAAATACCGCCGCCTCTGCCGCCTTAGCACCACCACCTCCAGTCATTTGGGGAAAAAATGCCAAATTTATTATGAGTTCCATATTTTTGGCATAAGTCAGAATGATTTAAGATGGCAGAATAAAAATGTTGGCATTCTCAAAGAGAAATATGTCATGTTTTTTGCATTATCAGAAGAAAAAAATGGTTGTTTTTAGGAAATATGGCATTTTTTTAACGGTCGGAGGTGGTGGTGCAGGGAGGCGGTACCACCACCTCCTGTCCGGGGGGGGGGGGGGATGCCAAAAATATTACGAATGCCATATTTTTGGTTGAAGTCAAAAGGATTCAAGTTGGCAGAATAAAAATGTTGACATTCTCATGGACATATATGCCATTTTTTGGAATTTAAAAAAAAAATTGGCATTTTTTACACAGATCGGAGGTGGTGGTGCAGGGAGGTTGTACAGGCGGTGGGAAAGGCATCCATATTTATTTTAATTTTTTATGGAGTTTTACTATTTTTTATTAATTTTCAAAAAAAAAATTAAAACAAAATTGATTTTCTTATTTTATAAAAATTTTATTAATTTTTTTATTATTTTTCTGCGAATGATTGAAATTTTTTCAAATTTATTATGAATTAAACATTTAATTATGACTTTTGGCTATCTTTTACTAATATTTGAAGGACGAGTAAGAATGGAAGGAAGAAATGAGTATGTTTCTAATAGGACCACTATGGTCCTATTTTTGGAATAAAAAACATAGCAAGTTGTATTTGGAGTTTTTACCATAGTTTTAGTCTTATTTGAATTAATTTCTAATTTCTATATAATCCGGACATTTCTATTTTATAGTTTCATATGACACATCACACATCCATACGTGACCATGGTGACACACTGACACAAGTGACGCATGATCAACATCATATTTCCACACTTCAACCGTGAATAAAATTACTCCGTATGTTTTTGTGTCAATGTTTCCGTGATGAAATTATGTTGCATTTTTTTTATCCTAAGGGGCGTCGGGAGAGGGGAATTGGGAGAACTTGGGGTTAACTAAGATCAATCTCACTCCATTGATAATTGAACTCGGGATCTCCCACAAGAGAGTGAGTCGGCGACCAGCTGAGGTGGACCGCTTCCTCAATGTAACTTGAATTGCTACGAAATGTAATCTCAATTATAAGTAAATGTTGATTCTTGTTATTTTTAACCTCCCCCTTTTAGGTTTGGTATACTCCTTAGGATGGTCCTTTCCCTCACAATTCCATCATATTCCGACCGCCGCCGTCAGAGCACTGGCTGGGGGCAAAAAATTAAGATTTTTTTTGCACCACACTGTCTGCGCCGCTGGTTTCGGAGCTTCACCACAGCCGGTCACCTCCACCACCACCCGACTGTCCTGCCATCACCAGACTGCCCTGGCTGCCCAAGGGAACTAGGGGTGGGATCGGTCCGGTCTGGGTCGGGTTTTTGCTAAACCCGGAAATTACCCGGAAGGTCTCGGGTTATGAAAATTAGGGACCGGAACAAAGCCCATTATATTTGGTCCGAGTTGGATTTTTGGTAGCCCGAGTTCGGTCCGGGTTCGGGTTGGACCGGTTAAAGCCCGGACGTGAAATATGTCATTGTTCTTTTATATTTTAACACTTATTTTCAAATGAAATTAATCAAAAATACAAACCGCAAATAATAACACAAATATTAGTCTCCAAAATCACCAACAATTCAAATTTAAAGAAGATAATTATCTTAATATTTTATGTAAGACGTATATATATAAATAATATATGTTTCTTAAAAATATTACGAAATAAATTTTATAAATCAAAAAGTTACTAGAGTTGCTATAAATATATTCTCATGGTCATCATTACGCTAAACAAATTCAACATATTTGCAGTCACTAAAAGTTACTAAATCTTTTTTATCCACCATGATTATAATCATATATTAGGAAATATTTTGTTTATATTCATATACTATATTAATTTTATATTAAAACTAATTGTTTCGGGTTTTTTCGGTCCGGGCCGGGTTATAGATTTTAAGGCCCGTTAATGAGCCCGGAATTTTCGGTTCGGTCCGGTTTTTTTAATTCGGGCCGGTTAAAAAGAAAAAACCCGGACCAGGATCATAATTCGGGTTGGTCCAGGGTCGGTTTCCGGATTTCGGTTCGGTTTTTCCCACCCCTAAAGGGAACTAGGGGTGACAATTATTTAACTAGATTAGCAATACTAAAGGTAGAAAATTAATGTTTAGTCTTATTTGTGAATGATTTAATTTTAGTTCGTTTGTGCAATTAAGTTTTTATTTAGTCCTATATATATATAGAGCAATTATCATAAACTTTAAAGGGACTTTAAGTAAGACTGGACTTTGAAATTAAAAAACTAAACTTGAGATGGCTGAAAAAATAGATTAGTTGGCAATCTTCTTTGACAAGGGAGTTCAAATCAAACTGGCGAATTTTATTTTGGATAATAAACACAACGATATTACTCAACTAATAATAATTCCTGCAAATGCTGGATGAAAGTTTCCACTTCAAGTGATTCTCCCTAACCAAGCAACCGACATGGCTATCATCATCCATAACTGATTTAACAGCCTTGCAAACACTCTCTTTTGAAAACCAACCATTTCCATCCCCTCTCCACCTCCACAGCCACCTCCAGCTCTTCAACCATAAGCCTTGTGTTCAAACTTTGATCAAAGAAATTGGGCACATACACTAACTGACAGTCATTCATCTATCCCTCCCACATTGACCCATATCCACAGTGATTCACAAAGCACCCTACTGTTTTGTGCCCCAAAATCAGATCTTGTGGGACCCAACCTCAAACCATCCCTCTCTTTTGGACCGCTTCCTCATACCATTTGTAGTGGTGAAGAGTCCAAATTGTTAAATTTGGACTCCGTCCATATGAAAACAGTGTTTAGACTCCATCAATACTGTTTTTCCCTGCATCCGTGCGCCGTCTATAAAATACACTCTGCATATTTTTTACATATCAATTTAGTAAAACATTAAGTAAATTATTATAAGTAATGTTTTACTTTTATTTTTTTCCCTGAATAATTATAAAATAAAAAGTACACATTTCGATGTAAAAAAAATTATTCTTTTTTACGTTTTTCGATTAACGAACTGAGTTCAAGCACATTGGAGTATTGGATTCTCTTCTCAAGTTGTGTATCCTTTCGTAGCATAGGATGCTATTCTCCACTATGGGTGTCCTTTCCTAGCATTGGATGCTATTTTCCACTTGGTGTATTCAATTATAATTAATTGGATCTATTCTCAACTTGGTCTGTACACTTTCTTATATTACATTGGATTCTCTTACCACCATGTTACTACATAGAATAAATGTTATTATAAATACATGCTCTCACTTTACATTGGAATCACACAACTCACCTTAACTTCTCCCATAGAAAATAATGAGTTCTTTTCCCTCATTTTACCAATCCATTCATGAAGATGAAGAAGAAGACGCTCACTCCGACCGCATGCGAATGGCTATGATGGCTTCTTTAGTTGCAACGAGCTCCAACACTCGTGAGTACATAGATCGTGGTCGAGAAGCTAGACAACGTTTGTTGATGGATGATTACTGGAATCCAAACCCCACCTACAACGCACGTATCTTCCGGCGTCGATTTCACATGCAACGACATTTGTTCAATCGAATCATGACAGATGTCATGGCCTTTGATCCTTATTTCCTAAGTACAGCTGATGCTGCAAATAAGGTATCTCTTTCTCCTCAACAAAAACTCATTAGTGCGATATTTATGCTCACCAATGGTTGCTCGGCTGATTCCTTAGACCAGTTATGTCGTTTGGGTGAGACGACCACACTTTTATGCCTGAAGAAATTTTGTAGGGCAATTGTTAGTGTGTATGGTTCTTGGTACTTACGAACCCCTAACCCCGGGGATCTACATCGTCTTCTTGAAAAGGCCTCAAAGAGAGGCTTTCCTGGGATGATTGGGTCAATTGATTGCATGCACTGGGAGTGGAAAAATTGTCCTACATCTTGGGGCGTTATCAGTGGATCTAGTTTAGATGCCTTTGTCTTTCCACTTCTTTTCGCCTTTTGCTTGTCACGACCTTCAGGGCGTTGTAGTGGTTCTCCATCCGAGGGAGAGCTAACATCACCACCTACGACCATGGGCGATGTTGGAGAGGAATTTAAATTTATCGGAGCTTCGTATTGTTGGTACCACTTTGGAAAGGAGTGGAGAATACGCCAAGCATGCTCAAATTTGAATGGTTTTCCATGGTTATCATTCATGAAAATGACCTTGTCTTGATAGTCCTACATTACGAATCAAAATAACATTATAAATATGGAGTTATATATATTAAAAAATTAATATATAATTTATGAATTAATATTAAATAATGGAGTAATTTATAATTTACCAAATCGGCTAGGTTCGCCCCACTCGTCGGGGTTGCATTTGCCTTCCGCACACAACCTTTCCACAACGAGCATTGGTGATTGATGATCTTGAAACGAGACTCAATTGAATCCCGACTCCGATGAACACTACTTTTTTCAGAAAATAGCACATGAACTCGGTTCCAAAAACTCTCCCCCAGTTGATTTATTCCGATGACCCCATTTTCCGAGATGATAACCCAAGCATTGCATAGAGCAACATCCTCACTAACAGTCCAATTAGCACCCCTTCTTGAGGAAGACATTACAAAATATGGATATACAAAAAATTTGAAGAAGAATGAGATAGATGGGAGATGTGTGATCAAAATAGGAAGAATGGGGGTGTTTATATAGAATTTTCGGATCAAATATTAATTAAAAATAATGTAAAAATAAAATAAATAATTTGAACTGTTGGATTTTATTTTTAGCCGTTGGATCATTTTTTTGACGTTGGAACAGTGTCAAAATGATCTCAGCCGTCGGATCTTTCAAAAAAGTTTTTTTTTAAATCTGGCCATGGGAAATAATCACTTAGTGCGCGATGACGTCATGACGACATCACCATGATGTCAGCCATGTTTAATTGGCAGCAGAACATGCAGCGTACGAAGCTGCAGTCCGCGGGTCCCCATTTTCTTTTTCTTTTTCATTTAATTTTTCTCTGTCAACTCTTCCCTCTATTTTTACACTCCTCCACTCTCCTTCCCACTTTTACTCCCCCTTTTAATCCCCCACTACACACAAATAAGAGTCTAAAATTTGCAATTTTAATCTTTTGACTCCTAATATGCAACCACTACAAATGGTCTCAATGTAACTTGAATTGCTACGAAATGTAATCTCAATTATAAGTAAATGTTGATTCTTATTATTTTTAACCTCCCCCTTTTAGGTTTGGTATACTCCTTAGGATGGTCCTTTCCCTCACAATTCCATCATATCATGTCACTTCTTCATTTTGATTTAATCCCGCCCTTTGATTTCGATCTATCAGATTTTCCTTTGTGTTTTTGTTTTTCTCTAGCCATAGTGTAAGCATCACCAGATTGTTAGTTGATGTGTGTTTTCTCGCACTTAAAATGATTGTAGAAAAGTGGTGAAAAGTACGAGTATCGTCTCCACAGGGACGGACAAAAGGGAAATAAAGATTAACTAAACTTAGCAATTAAAAAGAAATAAATAAAATAAAAGTGCAATTGTGCGAGATTGGTTGATTGATTGAAATAAAACTAATGCTAAGGAGCAGGTAAAAAGATTTGGTTTTCCTTAATTAATGACGAAGGGAACAGGAATTGATTCCGGGGTTAACCAGATTTCTGGCAGAACAGGCCTAATCACATGAATTTAATTTAATTGAGCCTAGCTAATCATTACTAAGTTCTTACCGCTCTCGCAGCGAAGAGTACAATAATTTAGGGGTCCAGGCTGATCTCTCATGCGACAAGATCCTAAATTATTGCCAACACGAGCGAGCTTACGGCCCCTTAATCGCTACTAATCTCTTAGCGAACGATTAAGTGTGTGTGAATGTGTCCTAGAACAAATTAGATCTCTCTTAATTCATTCTACATGCAATTGTAATTCTAGCTGCAGTCTAGGTTACAAGAGATATTAGTTAAATTATTCAAACACAAATTAAACGGCATTCATGCAATTAAACCGACAAGAATCTAGCCATACATCATGATTAACCCCTTCATCAACCCTAAATCCCTAATTAAACCACTCACTCCTCATAATTGACGAATCAAAAGAATCGGGATGAATAGAATTAATTGTCATTAATTAAAGAATTGAACTTACAAAGAATCCCAGGTTCTTGGATTAAACAACGTAAAAACGTAGGTAAAACTCGTCCCTAGGCCTCTCTCCAAAGTTCATAACCCCCAAAAGTGGGTATGGAGGCCTTATTTAAAGAAAACAGGAGAATTTGAGCTGAAATAGGACAAATCGGGGCCAGACACGATGCCATGCATGATCGTGCCTGGGATCGTGCCTACGGAGTATATCACGCGCTAAGATCGCAGACACGATCGTGCCTGCACCGGACACGATCGTGTCTGGCTGCCAATAGCTCCGCGTCTCCGTCTTCTCCAGGCACGGTCGTGCCTGGCCCAGGCACGGTCGTGCCTGGTCTTTTCTTCATCATTGTTCTTCGTTTCTTGTTCCGAATGCTCCTGATTGCCTACGAGGTCGATCCAAATGCTCTTTCTTCACCAGAATTTCGTTTTGAATCTCCCGGTGGCCTCCAAATCTTCCAAATCTTTCTCGAATGCCTTCAAATCCTTCCAGAATGTCTCTCAAGCGCCGATTGCCGGACTCCAACTTCTTCAAATCAACTCCAAATGCAATGAAACTCGATCCAACGCCTGCTAAACACAACTTGAGCCAAATTTGAGACTTGCAACACCTTAACGCCAGGAAAATCATCAAAATCCGACCCGAACACGCATCAAATGCGTGTCTAAATACGGACTTATCATTACTGTTTATGTCATGGTGACAATTAAGTATTTCGATTGTCAATATCTTATTCATAATTGTGCTCCCTTGGACTTATGTTGTCTATAAGCTAAGTAAGTGAGAGATTATATGATAATAACATAAGGTCCTAAAATAGCTCAATTAATCATCATCAAGAAAGAAATATTGATTATATGCGATAAGATTGGTATGTGAACTGCGCCATACTTTTAGAAAGTATAGTTGATCTCACAACTATGAGTTCCTGTAATTCATGATGGTCACATAAATATTTTAAAGAATACTGACATACCCATCGAGAAACCATTTTATAAGTTCTATTCATGTGTCTATGAGATTATCGGCGTAAAGAGTAGTGTAATAGTCCTCCGACTTGAGGCCAATGCGTACCGCATGTGTGGAGTGATGTACTTCGACCTTAACCAACGCTTGCACTCTAATCAGGGTAGACACGACATGTGTTGGGTACATCATGAAGCACATGGAGTAGTAATTGAGCCAAGCAAGGATTCATTCCTCGTAATAGATTAAGAGAGAACATTCTACTTCTCATATCTAGATGGATCATAAAGTCATTGGCAAATGCACAGATATATTCGTTTTGAATATCGAATATGATCATTATGAATCATCTAGAAAGATTGAGAGACAGAGACTAAGTTATTGGAATAGACACAATATCAAGTTCTACACTTAGTTGAATGTTCGTTGAATGAAAGGACCGATCACTATGAGCTCTATATTATAGGGAGTTTGAATAGTTCTCACAAACGTGCTTATACATTAAGTTTGTCTGGAGAATCATTTGGGGATTCGCTAAGACCTTAATTTGATTATTGTTTAATATATGAGGCCCTATGGGTTACAAAACAATGATTATACCTTCCGAATGAATTGTTAGAAGGAATTAAATATTAATTGGATTAAATAATATTTATTTCTGATAGAGTATATAGACTTGGGCCCCCGGGTATGATGACTATTGGGCTTGGACAGTGGCCCACATACACTTACCTGATAGCATTTACATTATTGTACAGTCTTTATATCATTTGTATCTACTAGATTAGCCATTTATGTAGTTGGGCTTTTCGGGCCCATATTAGAGGCCCGGCCCACTGTTTCTCTATTTATATTCCTCTTGGAGCTTCATGTAACCTAATTCCAAATTCATAACTTCTACACATATTACTATTCATCATCTTCCTCCTCTCTTATGAGCTTAATCTCTCACATTTATTAGATGTTTGGATCCCTATAATCCATCATTCGTAATATTGGAAATGAATTAAATATTAATTAGATTAAACATATTTAATTCATGAAGTTGAAGGAGATTTTTATTTGATAGAATTAATTAAGTAAAATAAATTATATATATATATATATGCTTAATTAAGATGTATTTATTATTAAATAAAGTTGATATTTTCTTTTATAATTTAGAATTAAAAAGAAAAGTAAATGAACAAAATAATAATATATATAATCAATAGAGAGCGGCGTAAGACCACATCTCTATTATTGTTATTATTATTATTTTGTTGTGTTTTATCTACTTATCTAATCTAATAAAATCTTATAAACACCAATGAAGGTTAGGGCATTTAAGAGAAGGAAAAAATGTTGGTGGTATCAGCTGGCTTAATTAATATGTACAATACACTTTACCATAGGTACTCTATCAAAGGACTTTAACTTCAGTTTTCTTTCCGTCTGTCATTCCTCCCATATGTTCATCCGATCCGTCTCTCGCTGTCGCCTGGAATACATCATTCGTATTCTTCGTCTCTCAGCGCTCCAAGCCTTTGAACCCGCTGCCATTTGTTCATCCGATCCGATACGTTTTCTTTCCATTTTCGCCTGCTCGCTGAGTCGCTGGTTTTCCCATTTCTCAAGTATGTATTTAGTTTTAGTTTGTTATATTTTATTTGGTTTAGCTTTATGCCTTTATTTCTGGAAATTTTGAGGGTTTCTCTTATGAATTCGAATAAATTACTCCCTAGACTTTTTGGAATTTACATACTGTGAATTTTCATGTTATTGTGAATCCTGAATTCAGCTTTAGTTCAAGGAATTGTGATATGCTATTTAATGTGGATATTGTGATTTCTTGGCATTCAGCTTTAGCTCTTTAGTTTGTTACAATTCAGGTTGTTGGAAATTGTGAATTGTGAATTATGAATTCGATCCCTAAATTGCTTCCTACATTGTTGTTGTGGATTAGACGAGTGAAGCCTAGAATCTGATTAGGTATGAATATGGATTAACGTTTAGACCTTTTGAAATTCATTGGGCTTGACTTAGATCTGAATCAATTTAAATGTAGGAATTAGGTAAGAATTGTTGTGAATTTAATGATAAAAGAATGTCCACATCTTTTATGCTTTACTGATTGGGTTTGCAAAAAAACAAACATCAACCTTGCTTTGTGTTTATCATTTTTTGTTTCTATTGTCATTATTATATGGAAAAAGGGTCAAATAGACCCTCGTACAATTGCAAATCGGTCACTTAGACCCCTGTACTATTAAAAGCATCACATAAGTTCATGTACAATTGCAAATCGGTCACTTAGACCCCTGTACAGGGGTCTATTTGACCCCTTTTCCTTATTATATTGTCCTTTCTCAGATGATGGACATGCGATACTTTTTTGTTTAAAACCAAGAAGCCTCTTTTTTTGCTCACCAATTTTAGTAGGATGCTTTAGGTAGATATTGCTTTATTCAGTTTTACCAGTTCAAGGAGAGACCCTTTTCTGGATCTTTTGAAAAGAAGAAAAGATATACTTTAATTGATGGGAGATTTATGAAGTAACCGTTAGGTCGTTTCTCTTTCACAAAACACAAAAAGTCTTAATATTATCCTTGAAAATTTCCCTCAATTAGTCGAAGGAATACAGACCTGAGTGAACTTTGTCTTTCCCCTTCTTTTGTCATCATTTATTCATGAAGCTCAAGTTGTTCAGGGATCCCCGTGTGCTCGATATTCAACAACAAGGACATTGTAACCCTGCTCTATGCCTGGCACACACTAAAGAAAATCGGGATCATCTTTTTAAAATATATAAAAGAGCGTAAAGGCCTGGATCGTAAGAGTGCTATATCAAATAGTGAACTGTCTAAGCCAATTTCTCCGCATGCATTGAGAACTTTTTATCTAGAAAACCATAGTGAGTTCAATCTCCGGTCTCCCTACGTCAGAGTCATATATTAGATTGTGCCCTATAGAGTTGGCCAGAGTCGTATATCAGAAAGATTGAAATTTCTTATCACCAGTACATAGATTATGTTATCTGTAAATCCAAATCTTATATACTTATAATACCGAATGACGGTAAGGGTCTTTTTGGTATTAAAATATTTCCGTCTAACACCCATTAACAAGCTGTCGTCTCATCTCCCTTCATCTACCTTGCGCCCTCAATGACGTCTTCAATCTTCACCTCTTCTGCTCTGTAACACTAAATAGCATTTCCACGAACAAAATATAGGCTATTTTTAGTATGCTTAGCCTAGCTTATTTTCGACACTATGGGTTGTGTATTTCATAGCTTAGCAAAGGAAATGTAGACGGCGAAATTGGCAGGCCACACATCTATAGGGGAAGAGTTGTGGTCTGCCTCAATAAGCGTTGTGAGGCGTCTGCGCTCCTGCGAGCCTTCTAGCAAGGGTTGTCTGCCGGACGCGACTAAGGAGTCACCCAGCGGCGTGAAGAGGAGGATGACGACAACAAAGACGACATCATATAAGGCCACCGACACCAAGTCTAGTAGCCCCCTTCGCTGCTGAGTTTTGGCCAACGTAACCTCAAAAATTAATTGTTCAACCGCTCTAGCCAACCTCTGAAATCATTTTGTGCATTTTGTATGTTTCAAAATGGCATAATCTTCTAATCCTTAAAATCTTATATACTATCTATCAGGTTTTAGTTCAAGGGTATGATGTGTTTTGGCAGAATGTGTTTATAGGGGCTTCACTTTCATTTGATTACATAATCTCATATGTTGTTGTCCATAGTGAATAGTATGAATAGTATGAATAAAGTGAGAATAAAGTAGAAAGTAATAAATTTAAATCTGAAATAAAATAAATTAAAAAGTGAATATTATGTTTGCTTTCTAAATTTAATAATGAATAATCTATCTCTTTCTAGAAAAATAAAAAAATTAATTTTTTTTTTTAAAATTAATAAAAAATAGTAAAACTCCATAAAAAATTTAATAAAAATATGGATGCCTTTCCCACCGCATGTACTACCTCCCTGCACCACCACTTCTGATCGGTGTAAAAAATGCCACTTTTTTTTAAATTTTAAAAAATGGCATATTTCTCTATGAGAATGCCAACATTTTCATTCTACCATCTTGAATCTTTTTGACTTCTGCCAAAAATATGGCATTCGTAATATTTTTGGCATTTTCCCCCCGGTGACAGGAGGTGGTGGTACCGCCTCCCTGCACCACTACCTCCGACCTTTAAAAAACATGTCATATTTCCTAAAAACTACCATTTTTCTGAAAATGTCAAAAACATGGCATATTTCTCTTTGAGAATGCCAACATTTTTATTCTACCATCTTAAATCATTCTGACTTATGCCAAAAATATGGAATTCATAATAAATTTGGCATTTTTTTCTCAAATGAATGGAGTTGGTGGTGTTGGGGCGGCAAAGGCGGCTGTGACAAAAAATTTTGAATTTTTTATTTTTTTATTTTTTTTCAATTTTTTTAATTTATTATTATTTAAAATATTTTTATTAATTTTTTGATATATTTTACAAATTTTTATTATTTTATTATGAATTAAAACATTCCAATAGGTATAAGAGTATATTAGTCCAAGACACACATAATTAGTCTTATGGAAACATAGTTTATTTTTTATCCTATTTGTGCAAAGTGAATGACTTTTAGTCCTATTTTGATAATTAACTCTATAGAAATATGGTATCACCTAACCTTTCTACGGATTATTATTTTTTATTATTATTGAGCAATTTGAGCTCCGTAAAAAGGTAGACCTACCCATTGGTTTTTTATTCGTACAGTTACTTACCCAGTACTACTTCTAAGTTGTAACTACTAATTACTCCAAACACGTGAGCTGTAGTTGAGCAATGTATTACTTCAAACTAATACTCAGTATTATATTTTCATACCGCTCCTATTTTGAAATTTGAACTATCTGCCTTGTTATTGAACAATATATAGTTGAGCAAAGCATTATCTGACATTATCACTAAAAAATAAAAAGTAATCTAATTTTTCAAATAAATTAATTGAAATTATTAAATAAATAGATTCAGATCCAAAAATTATCAGAATAGGCTGTTGGGGCCTTGGAGTTTCATATCCAAAATAACATTTTTTTCTTTACATTTTCATAAATAAACAAATAAATAATGGAATAACAGTTCGAGAAAAGAAGAAAACAGAGGAAAGTACTTTCTTTAGCTTTGTTAATTATGCCACACACAGTTCCAACTTTGATCTGATCTCTCTGCCTTCTTTTTTTATACTTGAATATGCAGCAAATTTAAAACATGTTCATCACTTTATGGTTGTCACATGTTTCACTCCCTTCAAGTTTCCACCGAAGTGAGCAGGTTCATACAAATTGAAATAATCAAACAATATCATAACCACTATAGACCACTATATCTATATATATCATGCTTAAGTTCTTTCCAATGAACCCAACCACAAGAAATTGATAGCTTCTTTACTTCAACTCTGCACACACAAACAAGATGCCTAAGCCCACCAATTCAAAGCTTCAAATTGCCATGTTCCCATGGTTTGCTTATGGCCATATGATACCATTCCTCCAACTTGCCAATGAATTTGCTAAGAGAGGTCACACCATTTCCTTCTTACTCCCCAAGAAGACCCTCCAAAAATTAGCTAACAACAATCTTTACCCTCATCTTATAACCCTTCATCCCCTCACTCTCCCACTTGTCCCTGGCCTGCCCCCCGGTGCCGAAACCACTGCCGAAATAAAAGACTCTTTCATCCTCACGAAAGCCATGGACGGGACTAGGGACCAGGTCCGGGCGATACTCGAGAAGCAAAAGCCCGACTTTGTTTTCTTTGACTTCGCTGATTGGGTGATGGACTTGGGCTCCGAGATCGGGTTCAAAACCATTTATTACAATGTGTTAAGTCCAACCATATCAGCACTTAAGCTAATCACCTCTACTTGTCATGATAAGCCCATTACAACGGCTTATATGATGGAGCCTCCGCCAGGGTACCCTACTTCCAAAGTCTTGTTCAAAGAGCACGAGGCCCGAAAACTGGCAAATTTCACAAATGCCTTTTGGGATAACACTCTGAGGTTGTTTGGCCGTATCGCCTCAGGAATGAAGAACTGTGATTTATTAGCAATGAAAACCGTGAAGGAATTGGAAGGGACTTACTGTGACTACTTTTCCACTCTATATAGAAAGCCCGTCCTCTATACCGGCCCGGTCCTGCCCGAACCCAAAACAGAGCCATTGGAAGCCAAATTCAATAACTGGCTCGAGAACTTCAGGCCTGGGTCTGTGATTTTCTGTGCGCTTGGGAGCGAATGGGTACTTGAGAAAGACCAATTTCAGGAACTCCTTTTGGGGTTAGAAGAAACGCAGCTGCCATTTCTTGTAGCCCTTAAGCCACCAAAAGGGACAAGCACAATAGAAGAGGGCTTGCCAGAGGGGTTTCAAGAAAGGGTCCAAAACAGAGGGATGGTTTGTGGTTGGGTCCCACAAGATCTGATTTTGGGGCACAAATCAGTTGGGTGCTTTGTGAATCACTGTGGGTATGGGTCAATGTGGGAGGGATTGATGAATGACTGTCAGTTAGTGTATGTGCCCAATTTCTTTGACCAATGTTTGAACACAAGGCTTATGGTTGAAGAACTTGAAGTGGCTGTGGAGGTGGAGAGGGATGGAAATGGGGGGTTTTCAAAAGAGAGTGTTTGCAAGGCTGTTAAATCAGTGATGGATGATGATAGTCAGATTGGTTGCTTGGTAAGGGAGAATCACATGAAGTGGAAGGAGGTCTTGAACAAGCCTGGGTTCTTCACTAACTATGTGGAAACTTTCATCCAACATTTGCAAGGATTATTATTAGTCGAGTAATATCATTGAGTTTATTATCTAAAATAAAATTTCCCAGATGAGTAATCCATTTTTATCTTCCCAGCCATTTTACTTAAGTATTTTTAAGTTTTTAAGTTTTAACGATGGCCCATGTCCTTATTTGCTCAGATATATTACTTGCATTTATTTCATTCAAATAAGTCAAAGTTGCTTATTTTTATAGTTTTAATTGTTTTTTCTTGAATAAAAACTACCGTATGTCCATGGAAAGGTAAGAGATTAATGAGTCTATGAATACACAATTGAAATTTAAAATGCAAAAGTTCATAGTATCAAAGTACCAGCCAAACAAGAATAAGTGAAATTGTATTTGGAACAAAATATACTATTTCCGTTCTTCAAAGCTCTATGAACTTTCCTGATTTCCATAATGTTAGGTGATTAAATTTGTTTTTCTTCCCTCTTCACAACTTTCTGTGGTATAATTTTTATTGTTTTATTTTACTTGTATGTCTAATTTGATGAAGTTTTATGAGATAAAATGAGTATATACTTTGATCCTAGGCTACAAAAACAGAGCATTAAGCGCCAGAGAGGACTACCGCCACCATTAGTCTCCCACCGATCGCCGCTGTCGTCGTCACAGCACCGCCCCGGACTGCACGCACTAACGAATAAAACCTTGTACAAGAGAATTAAGGGACACATTAATTATAGTAAAAGTAAATAATGTTTAATAAATTTAAGAAATACTCCTTTATCTGGCGGAGATCAGTGGCTGCCATTTACCCTTAAGTTTAAGTGTTTAATCGTTTCAAAAGAGTACGGAATATGGTGGGGGCCGGTCCATTCCATGAAGTTTTCCGGCGATGAAAAATTGGGGATTGTCATCTGCGATTTGCAAAGGATTAGCCGGTTAGGGATGGGGCCTTTCAATTTGAGGGATTTAACTTACTTTAATTGATTACATCTTTTAATCTTTTTTTATATTGAAATCGCTCTATATAAGATTAAAAAAAATTTAAAATGCACAAATAGGACCACTATATCTTTTACCCTCCTAAATGTAACTACACATTGATTCCTACCAGAAATTCCCCTAAAATTATTATTTCATAATAAAATGTTATAATTCACAATAAACTCTTAAAAAATAAAAAAAATCGTTAAAAATACGAAAAAAATGGAAAAAAAAATGTAAAATAAAAAAATTAGAAAGATTTTTTTATTAATTATTAAAAAAATAATAAAAATAATAAAAACCCATTAAAAATCCATTTTTCCCCGAAAATGTCAAGAAAATGGCATTATTATTATTATTCATAATGCCAAAATTCTCATTGAATCTGTCATTATTATAGCATTACTAAAAATGTTGGCAGATTTTTTTATTTTAAAAAAATAATAAAAAAAAATAGTAAAACCCCATAAAAAATATGGATACCTTTCCCCCTGCCTCCCAGCACCACCACCTCCAATCGGTGAATATTCTGCCATTTTTTTTGTAAAAATGTCATTTTTCTGGTACTTTTTACGTTTTTTATTATTTTTCACTTTTTATTTATTTTTACGTTTTTATTATTTTTTTTGTGATTTTATTATTAATTAAGACATTTCAAAAGCTACAACGCTATATTTGTCCAAATACACATAAATAGTCATACACTACTAGAATAATAGCTATTTGTTGCAGTCATTTTTACTTGATAGAGTATATAGACTTAGACCCTCGGATCTTACGACTATTGGGTCTGGACAATGGCCCACACACGCTTTACCGATATCATTTACGGAGTATTATTGTACAGTTCATATATCATTTGTATCTACTAGATTAGACTTTTATGTAGTTGGGCCTGTCGGGCCCATATTAGCGGCCCAAAAGGAGCTCTTGTAAACCTAATTTCACATTCATTCATAATACCCAATACACGCTTCATCTTCTTTTCCATTCTTGAGCTCAATCTCTCATATTATTATATGCTTGGATTCCTATTATCCATCATTTTGGTACTCTCGTTGATAGGTTGAGCAAAATCAAGTGAGAATACTCCCAAAAATAATCCAAATATTCTTTTGCGACTAAGAGGTTTGGATGTTGTTCTTGTTACAAGAAATAAACCCAAAGTGTTCTGAAAAACAAAAAGAAAAATCAAGAAATGAGGAAATGTTGGAACTCGAGATCGGAGACGGAGCCACTGTCACCACAGCCGACTGAAACCCGCCACCACTGCCGCTCCAGGACTCACCTGTTGCTGCACCGGATGGTAGCCATCGTCTCCAGCAGACCTGAAGCTATGGCAACCGTCACTCCGTCAGAGGTCGTTGTGAAGGTCGCCACGAACCGGACTTTTTGCGGCTGAAGCGCGGCCTAAGTGTGGTGCAGAAGAGGGTATTTCTAAGGTCTTCCATCTCCGATTATACAGATCCAAACCAGGGCCGTCTCCAACAAATTTGAGGCCCTAGACAAAATGCATAATGTAAAGTGAGTACTTCATACTCATTCACAAACACGAGCTTTATATGCATTTCTCAACCATGTTTGAGGAAGATGTAATTTGTTTTCTTTTTCCTTGACCACAAAACACACAATTTTGTATGAAATAATGCGTAATAATAAATAAGGAAATATTTAAGAACCGAATTGAAGCAGCACTAAATATAAGCAGCCCATTTTTCCTCAAATGCAATTACAAACTAAATATATAATTGGTAACAATAAATAAGCAAATATTCAACCGAATTGAAGCAGCACTAACTAAGCATATATTCAATAAATAAGAAAATGTTATTTTTTATGGAGTGAAAACTAATTAATAGGTAGCACTAAATAAATTTTATAAACGAAACTAATTTCACAATTAATGAAAGATTAAAAAATTAGTTCCCCAACTAAATGATATCACAACTAAAAAATGTAAAACCGATTCTCACAACTAAATGATATCAAATCTGAAATACACATATTCAACGAGTTATTTTAATCAATTTATTTGCACAACCAAAAGCTAAATGAATAAATAATTTAATAAGCATTAAAATTTAAGAACCGTAATAAATCTAAATATAATAGAAAAATAGTTAGAAATCAAATTATAAATGCTTAAAAGACAGAAGACTTTAAGATGTGAATTGGCCTGAAGGTGCGATAAGCATCAATGTGTTAAAGCCGTATACTTCGTATTTAAAAGCCGCAAGCGTGGACTAGCGTAACTTTCAAAATTGAAACTATTTACGATTTAAATTAAATGTATATATAATACTACTATGGATAATTTAGAAAATGGAGGCCCCTCAATTTTGGGGGCCCTAGACAAATGTCTAGGGTAAATGCCCCTAAAGTCGGCCCTGATCCAAACCCCTTTCCACCATTAATGTCCGCCAAGAGCTCTAGGAGCAACAAAACCGGAACTCCGCCGGTGCTTCCGGAGTCCTAATGAGCTTGCTCCGGTCGTTTTTCTCTCCGTCGCTGGGTCCGCCTGAGGAATGTGCCCGTCTCCGCCGGAGGAAGCTTCCCCAATTGAAGTGTTGTACCTACCGCCTGTGAGGGCCTCGTCGTCATCTTCCTGAGTAGCTGTGGACGGCTCTCTTGGACAATCTGCAGTAGCGGCGTGCTACTTGGGTCTTAGCCGCAGAACGCTTCCTACTTGCTGAGAGGGAAAGCTTTTGCAGCATACTACAGCCGATTAGTGCGGATACTCATTCCTAGGATGTTTTTTTGGACTATCTTCAGTCAAATCAGATCAGACTTGACTTCCATAGTTATAAAATACACAGAGACCAGACGTTTACCAGATCAGACCATTTCAGACCAGACCATTTCAGACCAGATCAGATCAGACTAGACCAGACCAGCAAATTTCAGTCAAAAAGAAAACATCCCTAATAATCATAACAAAGTCATTACAAATAAAGGGTAAAAAAAAATACGCAGTATATAAAATCTTTATATTTTGAATTTTTCTTTTGATACACTTTAGGTTACACCTTGGTGTACACCCTATATAACCCCCCCCCCCCCCCATTTTTTTTATTTATCCCCTCCCAACTCTTTTCTCTCCCCACTCTCTTCTCTCCCCTCCTCTCCCATTTGGACCATACGAACCCCCCTCCCCCTCTCTTTCTTCTTCTTCTTCATCATCTTGTTCTTTCTTCTTTCTTCCTTTCTCCTTCTTCATCTTCTTCTTCTTCTTTCCTTCTTTTTTAGGTTTTATTCACCCTAATCATCTTCATTATCTTCTTCTTTTTCTTTTTACGTTTATGCACACCGACATTGGTTTGCTTTAGTGTCTATGTACGAAAATTTTATATATACAGATACTTTTTTCTACAAGACAACTAACGTCTGTGTACGCCGACACTTGTTTTCCAACTAATTTTTTTCACACCGACACTTTTTTGTCTACACAGACAACAAATGTCGGTGTATACCGACATTTGTTTCTGTGCAACCAGCCTAACAGATCTGGAAACTAATTTTACTCACACCGACAGTTTCATTGAAAGTGTCTGTAATTGTACGTTTTTTTGTTTGTGTGAATGGAAAATAAATAGGGTGTAACTCAGGGTGTACACCAACAATTACTGCAACCATGCTTAGGGAATGTTTGTAACAACTTAAAAAAAACATTTCTCAGCTTTTGGCTTAAAAAAGCATTTATGGGGTGTTTGGATCTGATTCTCAAAACTGATTCTGCTCTTTCAGGGAGCAGAAGCAGAAGCTAGAGTGTTTGGGTGAAATTCCAGAAGCACTTCTGGTGTTCTAATTTACTCTCAGAATCATTTTTTTAGAAGCTGGTACCTACCAGCTTCTGAAAACTGATTCTGATTTTGCTTCTGCTCTAAAAAAGAAGTAGAAGCAGAATCAGTTCCAAACACCCCCTTATTTACCAAATACTATCAATTTTTACTTTTTCTCGGCTTGCGTGTGAAAAGTGTTTTTTCTTTTTTACTATTACACAAAAAACACTTATTTTATCAAACACTACCAACTTTTATTTTTTAAAAATTACTTTTTTCTCAAGCACTATCATCTTTTACTATTAATCACTTTTTTTAAGCGGAAGCAATTGTAAACAAATATCCACTTCTTAGGTACCTACTCTAGTGATAGGTGAGTCACTGTCATTTAAGTGTCAACCGTACCTCAAAGTCTGAGCAGTGAGCATCAAACGCGTACTCCTCTCTCCAAACACCACTATTTCCTCAGTAGTACTGATAGGAAGAACTGAAAAGGCACAAAACGGTTCCGGCGGCGGAGCACGGCG